AAGAGTGACGGGAGGCATCATCTCTAGGAAGCACGGGGCACCCTCACACGAATGGTCAGTAGAACAGGATCCACGGCGACCCGAGTACTCCCTACGTTGAGCTTGGTTTATTGCTAAAGCTGGTAGTAGCTATGTGTTTGATTCTCTCTTTGGCTCTGACAGAGCAGGTGGAGAATCTCTTCCAAAAAGTTGATGTCTCTGAGAGATTTTTTAGTAGAAGTCATTTGGATGCTGGAGTGAAATAAGGTTTCAGACATTGAGCAGTTCTTTGATACTTGCGAATTGCTGGGTTTCCACTGGGCATTCGGATTCTTAATGTTAATAACAAGAGGAGCAGTGTGTAGCTTTTTCATATTAATTTTTTGGAATTTCGAGGGGAATGCCATACCCTGATTGCTACCCACAAGCTCTGTAACACTAGGGAAATCGCAGTCCTTCTGAAGTTCTCTTGATTAAATCTGGGATATGCCTAGGTTTTTCTACTCACACCATCCATAGAATAATAGAATTTTGTAATTATTCCATTTTTGTGTTTTTTATTTCATAAGGTAGTGAAAAACTTAAATTCCTTGGAAATTGGCTTTGTTGTTGTTGTTAAATATTTCCCAGGAATTCAAACTTAGAATTGAAAATCTGAACCACACCACTTTATGTAAGGAATAAGACATTAATTTTGCACTTTCTGGAACAGATTGCTAAGTTTTCACCATCTGTCCCATTTAACCAACATCATTAGGTAATAAGATGCTCAACATACACATACTGAAAACAAATGATTTATCATTTGGATCTTTTGGCGATGTAGATCTTATATGAGTCACTCATTCGTTCATCAGGCATTGATTGTGTGACCTCTCTGATGCAGAGTAGTTAGGGTTTTACACTAAGTGTCCCTTGAATGGAAAAGTAAGGACTTGAAGACTTTGTGCCTAGTTTTAGTATTTTGGTTTTCCTGACTTAAGGGTTATTACTGTTACAGGGGAACATGGCAGCTCTTTTATCTTGTCAGCAAAAGTCATCTAAGTTACTTCTAATTTTTATTCGTAGATACTCATAATAGTCAAGCTGCTTAAATAGGCTTGCCTAAGGACTAGGTGCCACAGAATCTTTGGCTTTGTTAATATTTTTATTTGTTCATTTGTAGTTGTGTTGTAGGATAACTAAAAATAGGATCTTATACTCAAATTAGGTAAGCAAAAATCATTTATATTTCACTTTGGAGTACATTGTTTGGTGTCTGGGATTTTGGGGTTTTGTTCTTTCATGGTGATTTTGCAAACTGAAAATGTTTTCCTTAGAGTATAGCATTAAAATTACAGGTTTTACTCCCTGAGCACTTGAACTTGACAGCATAGGGAAGGGTGAGGAGAAAATCAGTGAATCATTGTGAGTGTTAATTGTCTATAGATGTGTCATAAAATCTTAATAGCTGTATCTGTACTCTTCTGGCTGTGGGCAAAACTTGAACAAACAAGTTCTATTGCAGCAGTGAGAGTCTGTGGGTTCTGGGCACTGTCATCTAAAACAATATAATAATGATATCCATCCTTTTGTTTTAATTCATAAATGTAGGTTTGGACAGTCCTTTACTTGAATCTTCTGATTAACTTATTGTTTTATATTCATTTTAACATTTTAGGAGCTTCTAATAAACATGCAGAGAGGAAGGTGGTTATAGTTCATTGTTGTTTACAGAATAAGGTTAAACTTTACCTCTCATGTTAGTAGTTTCTTTTTTTTAATCACCTGGTAGTTCTGATTTTCTTTCAGTTATAGGTCTAGGTGCTTAACTAGTAGTTCATCTAAGGGCAAAAAAGTTGAGGAGCAATCTCAAAAACTTGATTTATATTTTGTCAGGTGGAAGAATCCTGGGCTTTCTTAGGCTGCTTTAAGCTGGGCCTCACAAGGGTACGTTATAATCCAGGGCCTGATTTCTTAGCCTTGTAGATTTCCCAGAGGTAGCTCAGAGTCAGATCACTCACTTTTCACTATCCAATTTCAAAACCAGAATTACCTATTTTTAAATTTATAACATATTAGAGAATTCTGGTATTTTATATTCTAGAATATGTAGACTAGTCAGAATATCAATATCAGTGTTAAGGTATGTCAGAAACCTTGCTACCAATAAAGTTATTTGATGGTTAAAGCAGGGGGAGTTAAATATCTTCAAGGAATAACATTTAGACATCCTAATGAGTCATCCTTTTTCACTCCAGGGAGTTTTGCCTACCACACATTCTAGAGGGCTCCATCTGCTGGTCAGCTCTCCTTTTTTTGGGTAGTACGAGAAATCTTTTGTATAGACACTTACCGTGTTCTTAATTTTTTCTTTCTCAAACTGAAGGTCCAATTAAGTTTTGTTGTGTTGTATTTTAATTCCTATTTCTATCTTACCACATAATTGCATATAGTGGTTCCAGTTAAGATGTACTGTAGGTTTATATGAAAGTATGCTCATGTTTTATATCTCTCTTGATATTTAACATTTGTTGGCCTTTTTGGCTGCAGCAGCAAAGTTGCCTTCAGACAATAATTTACAATGATTTGCTGTTTTCTTTACTGGTAAAAATGATTTTAATAATAGCTGCCAACATATGATTACTTCCTGTGTTCCAGGCACTGTTCCTAAGTATTTTACATTATCTCATTTATTCCTCACCACAATTCTGTGAGGAAGGTGAGTACTATTATATACACTGTAGGTTGAAAATTGAAGCTTAGAAAGTTTAACTTGCCTAAGATAGCAGAGCTGAGATTGCAGCCCAGGTCCCTCTGAATTGAGAGCCTTTACCCTTAACCACTAATATCTCATGGTTTTGTATTAAACATTATAAACATTTTATTAAACATAAATATTATAAACATTTAGTTGCTCTATCTCTCTGTGCATTATCTTGTACTTTGTCACTGGGAGATCTTATGCATATATCTCCACAACTTGGCTCTTTATTCTGTGTGATAAGCTGTCTTCCTTTTCTTGAAACTATGCACTTGACCTCTGCAACATTGCTTTTATCTTTTTATTTTCCTGTTCCTGTCCTGGCTATATTTACTCTATCTGCCCATTAAATATGGAATTTTTCTCTTCTTTATTTAGTTCTCTTAATTTCATCCACTCCTATGGTTTCAACCACCACCACTTCCAAATCTCGTCTTCTGAACAGACTTCTTTTCAGAGGTTCAGCACTGTATTTTCAGTTGCCTATTGAAGAGATATACTTAGATGTACCAAAGCTCCTCAAATCAACTTATCTAAAGTATCTAATATTTAATATTTGTGTCCCATTAAATATCTGAAATAGTGCATTTCCTTTTCCCCTAGATTTTTTCTTCCTCTGCTTCGTGTATTCCCTAATCAGGGATTAGGGACTCCCTTAACAGCTCTGTTCACAGTCTCTATACTACAAACTTTATAGTCCTCACTAATCAGCTATTCTGTCTTTCCTTAATACATACTGAACCTGTTTCCTTCCTCTGTGCTTCTTCCTTAAACTTTGTCTTTCACATTGCTCTCCCTGTTGTATCTCTACACTTCATGCCATCTCCCCTTCCTATCAGTAGAGTTAAGCTTTCTAAAAACCACACTGGATCATGCCATTCCCTTACTTAACAATTTCCATCTGCCAACTATTTCCTGCAGCTAAGTTGCTCAACCTTTTTTTCCTTCTGTGACAGATGATGAGTTGCATGGCATTCAAACATGCAACATAATGTCCATCTGAATACTCAGGATTATATGCAGTTCTGCATTTGGGTAAAGAGTATGATCTCACTCTTTGTTCTCTCATTCAGAAAATCATGTCAGAATACAAATCAGAATAACATTAAAAGGAAAACAATGACCCTATTCTAATTTCAAAAAGCTTAACTCATTCATAAACCTTAGTATTTTAACTTTTTTGATAAATGATAACCTTCCAATTTAGAGTAGTATGAAGTTCAGGCTCCTGACAAGATAACTTAACCTTAATCTATTTTACCAGCCTAATTGCATTTTCTAATTATATTTTCCTTAGAGCATAGCATTAAAATTGTAGATTTTACTCCTTGTGCACATAGCATGACAGCACAGGCGGGGGGAATTAGTGAAAGGATTCTCTGCCATTCTTTCACTTGCTACATCCCCAATGGCCTATATACCAGTTGGACTATACCTGTTTCTGTTTTCCTAACATACAGTGTTCTCTCTTCTTGTGCCTTTGTATGTGACGTTTTTCTTCTTTTCCTGTTCTTGGTGAGCTTTTACTTATCCTTAAATATTACCTTCCCTGCGAAACCTGCTCTAACCCCCTGAACCAATATTGTCTCCCTGAGGCAGTAATATTTTCTACAGTCCTAAATCTGCTGTGTATTAGGCATTGAAAACTTTTTCTATAAAGGGCCAAATAATACATATTTTAGGCTTTGCAGGCCATAAGGTCTCTGTTGCAGCTATTCACCGTTGCCGTTTTAGCACAAAAGCAGCCATAGATAATATGTAAATAAATGAATGTGACTGTGTTCCAATAAAACTTTATTTACAGAAACAGGCACTGGGCCAGATTTGGCCTG